TAATTTCATTTTGTAATCTGAATCTATCCTCCAGAAATACATGTCTTTCTCTTATAATATTTTATTTTGGTCCTAGCAATCTTTGAGAGTAGTGAGTTCCATATACTTAGTATTCCTGTGTAAAGAAGTACTATTTTTACTTTGCCCTAAAGCTATTTCTTTAAAATGATAAAGTTGTTCCTGGTTCTTGTGCTCTGGGATTTAATAAGTTCATATTTTTATCCTATGATTTTCATTATTTTATAAATTTCAATCCTCTTCCCCTCTCAGCCTGTGTCTTTCCAGAATGAAGAGCCCTAATCTTTCATCATCCCTCACAAAAGAACCCTCTCTACCCTCTGGATCCATTTAGGTGTCCTTCTCTAGACCTTGCCTGGCTTGGTATGTCTTTGAGGTACATCAGATCATGGGGCTCCCATCACTTCATCCATTATTCTGTATAAAAGGGCGCAACAGCTTCAGCTACAATACAGTGTAGAAATATTTGAAAGACACTTTTAAAAATCAGACAATTCCTTTGCTTCGTGTCAGCCCAGCAGATGCCAAAGAAAATATACATTTTTGCTTCAACTCTGAAATGAATTTGAACACACTGGTGCTGGACGACCTCATAATCTATTATGAAAATGACAATTAGAAAGCGCTTTCACACATTATCATACATTATCTCATTTGACCCTCACATGAACCATGCAAGGTACAAAAAACAAATTATGATCTTCATTGTTTTACACGAGAAAATTAAAAAAGGAGTCTAGCCCAAGGTCGCACAGCTGAACTTGGGGCCCCACACTGGTCCTCCACTGAGAGAATGGTGCTTTATTCACTGTGCAAGACAGCCTTCTGATAACCTCTTGTGATTCATGTGAAATCACTAACCTATCCCTCTCCAAGTCTCTTTCAGTGGTCCACAACACAGTCACGATATTCCATAGACCTGCTGAGAGGAAAGATGTTTCCAGTCAGTCTAGACCTTCTTCCCTTCTCTCTCCACGCTGAAGCTACAATCTCATCACAGGTGCCAATGGTACCTCCATGCAAATGACACCCAGATTTGTATCTCTAGGCCACACCTCTCTTCCGAGCAAGAACAGGTATATAAAACTGCACAGCTGACATCTCATGGATGTCTCAATATACACACAACCTCGTCTTCTGACCCCATCATATGCCTTGCCACGGCCAAAACTCAGTTCTCTTGCGGTGTTCCTCCCCTCAAATACCTATCCAGGAAGCTAGGAGACATCTTGACATTTCTCTCCCTCCCCCCCCCCCTTTGCTTTTACCCCCCACAGAGCTCTCTGTCCTGCCCATTTCTCTCCTTCCCATCATCACACCTTAGTCTCAGGTACCCTCCTCTCCTGTTTAGACGTTCATGGACTCCTAATTGGTCTGTTCCTCTCCCAAACTTTCTCCCCACTATAGCTAGGAGGATTCTTCCAAAAATGCTGTGCTGGTCATGCCGCGTCTACACCACCCCCACTTAGAGCACTGCGTGGCATCTCATCCTTTTAAGCTACAGGCAGAAACCTATAATTGGCCACAGGTCCCTGCCTAATCCGGGCCTGCCTGCGGCCTCATTTTATAATACCTGCCTCCATGGCTCCCCCCTCCAGCCCTGCTCCTCATCGCTCAGCCCCTCTCACTCACCGACTTCCATTTGCCACAGGGCCTAACATTCCTCCCTCCCCTCCCTGCCTATTTAAATTCCTAGAATTAAATGTTCCGTGGGGTACCTGGGTGGCTTAGTTGGTGAAGCGTCCTACTTCGGCTCAGGTCATGATCTCCTGGTTGACGAGTTCAAGCCCTGCGTGGGGCTCTGTGCTGACAGCTCGGAGCCTGGAGCCTGCTTCAGATTCTGTCTCTCTCTCTCTCTCTGCCCCTCCCCCGCTCACACTCTTTCTCTTTCAAAAATAAACATTAAAATAAATAAATAAGTGCTCCAGAAACCTCCATCTTCAGACAATTTTAAGCATCTCTCCTCAGGGAAACCTCTCCTGACCTGCCTGAGTTAGATTCCACCCTTATACTTTATGGGGCACTAACTTGGCATGGTTTTGTGATTTTAATTCATGCTTGTCTCCCCCACTAAATTTGTAAACTTCTGCCCAGCATCGTGTATATTCCCGTGCTGTGCTGAGTTTGTCACACAGAGGCACAGCCATGTTTATTACATCAAGGTGAATAAATGAATAAGCCCACTAATAAGAAAGTGGTTGCATATGATATATATCCTTATTATGGAACACTGAGCATCTGTTAAAAAGAGCGAGGTGTCTATTTTACTAATATGGAATGGTGTTCATGGCATACAGTTTAAAACAGTACAATACAGGGGCGCCTGGGTGGCTTAGTCAGTTAAGCGTCCGACTTTCGCTTGGGTCATGATCTCGCGGTTCGTGGGTTCGAGCCCCGCATCGGGCTCTGTGCTGACTGCCAGCTCAGAGCCTGGAGCCTGTTTCAGTCTGTGACTCCCTCTCTCTCTGACCCTCCCCTGCTCACGCTGTCTCTCTCTCTCTCTCTCCTAGAAATAAATAAAAAATTAAAAAAAAATGTTTTAAAAAACAGTACAATACAGAACAGCGTGCATACTATGATCAGTTAATTAATTCATTAATTTATTTTGACAGAGAGAGAGCGTACGGATGCGCATGAGTGGGGTGAGGGCGGCAGAGAGAGGGAGGGAGGGAAAGAATCCTATGCAGACTCCACACTTCAGCACAGAGCCCATCGTGGGGCTCAGACTTATGAACCGTGAGGTCATGACCTGAGCCAAAACCAAGAGTCAGATGCTCAACTGACTGAGCCACCCAGGTGCCCCCATGATCAGTTATTTTTAAACCTATGTATGTCTTTATTTAAAAAAAAAAAAAAAAAACACCTCTGCGTGTATGCACCATGTGTACGTGTTTAAAGGATCTATGAAACCAGCGCCAAATTGCTTACAGTGGTTTCCCTGGAGAGAGGGAATAAGACATACAAGTTAAGAGAAAATTAGGATAAAATTTCTACTCATAAATTTTTTGCTGCTTTGACTTTTTTCAATGATTTTTTTTTGTGATTATCTTAACAGCACCATTTTTAAAATAATGAGGCAATTCACTGAAGTCCAAGAAACTATTTCTAAACACAGCAAAAAAAATTTTTTTTAATAATAATCACTCTGTATAGGATTTCTCAACAGCAAGAAAGTTCCAGAAGTCAGCATACTTTAAGCTCAGGGCTTCTATCTAGCAATAAGCTGTGACAAAGAAGCCAGAGGAAGAGAACAATTAGACATGCCAGCACTTGTTTGTTTAATTTGGGTCTTCCCTGCCCATGATTTTTATAAACAATAAATATTCTGAGAAGTCACTGCTCTGTGATTCACTTACACAATCTGAGAAGTTAAGTGAAAGAAAAAACAGTGTAAATTTTTCTTAGTTTATTTAATTTTTTGTTGTTGAATACAAGCGATGACGTGAGGACACCTTTATTTCTCTTCTCTTGCTACATGACAAATCTTTTGTGGTCTTTACCACAGCTGCAGAGGAAGGAGCAGGGGACACATATCCTAACCATGAAGAGACAAGGTTATCCTATAGCTAAGAGCACAAAACCTCGCTTGGGTTGTTGAGGGAATGGTGTGCAGGTGGACAGACCCACAGCTAGTGAAAACGGAGAGGTGGGTGTGCAGGAGTGATTCCTCCGGCAGCCAGCCCACGGGCGAGAGCTGGGGAAAGTCTGTGAATACCGAATAAATGCTGTCACTTGGAGCTGCATTGATTCTTTTTTTCAGACTAACGGCTCAGATGGTGGAACAGCCAAACGATGACTAAAATATAAGTCAAATGCTTTCAAATCAAATCATTACAATGAAGCAGGAACACGGCGAGCAGAGAGCAGGTCATTAAGGGTTCTAACCAATACTTGTTAAACCTGAAGAAACTCACTCTCCTAATGACTGCCTCTTTCAATCTAAGTCATTTTGACGTTTGTGAGGGGAGGACAATCGATCTTCATTACCAGTGACACCCACTGACCAGCTCTGAAGGAAGGGAAGGGTAGCTCCCCGCTGGGCTTGTGCACTTTCCCCAACCCTGATCTTTCTCGCCTCTCTCTGCCCAGCATGTCTTTGATTATCCCAAAGGGTGACAGGAAATTTTTTAATGAGCCTCAAAGTTAGTGTCTTGATATTTTTGAAGGCCGATTTTCATTTAAATACAAACCAGCTCAGAAAACTTTAAGAAAAATATGGTTGGGAGCGCCTGGGTGGCTCAGTCAGTTCATCGCCTGACTTGGGCTCAGCTTATGATCTCAGTTTGTGAGTTAGAGCCCCCATCGGGGTTCGCTGCTGTCAGCACAGAGCCTGCTTCAGATCCTCTGTTCCCCTCACCCTCTGCCCCTCGCCCTCTTGCAGGAAGAGGTGCAGTGTGGGCTCTGGTCCTCACAGAAGCACCACAGGGTCCCACAACAGACACAGGGGTGGCTTCCCTGACACCTTGCCCTCCCCCACCTTCTGCTACTTTCTCAGTTTTAAATTCTTTCCCCAAATGTTCACTCCCTATTTTATACTTCACTTCTTCCAAAAGCACTTTTGGTGGGGAGATCCTGAGAAGACAGGTATTCCCAAAAGGCCTGAAGGACTTATCAGAAAACAAAGCCTCTTACCACATTTATTAGAATAAGTAAAAGTACTTATTCTCCTGAAGAATAAGTAAAAGTACCCCTATCCCTGTGATGTCCGGCATCTGTTTTATCCCCACCCCACCACTCTCCTTTTTGGGAATTATCAGTCATGGAGGAGAGTAGGATGAATAGAAAACAAGGTTTAGCGCCAACAAACGTAGAGGACCTTGCTCCATAGACCGGCCTTGGGCAGAGACTGGAGCTTCCCTGAACCTTAGCTGAGCACTCAACTCGCCCCCTGTGCTCTCTTCTCTGAATGGATTCACTTAGATGGGAGGTAATATGTTGCGGGGCTTTTTTTTTTTTTACATTTTTTTATTGCAGTAAAACATCCATGACATAAAATTTATCACTGTAACCATTTTTCCATGTACAGTTCAGTGACATCAAGTACATCATCATTGTTGGGCAGCCATCATCACCGTCCATTCCCCAAACTTGTTCGTCTTCCCAAACAGAAACTCTGTACTCACTAAACAATAACCCCCCAGCTTGGCCTCCCCCCAGCCCCGGGCAACCACCATTTACTTCCTATCTCTATGAATTTGACTACTCTCAGTACTTCCTATAAGTGGAATCACACCATATTTGTCCTCTTGTGACTGGGTTATGTCACTTAGCATAACATCTTCAAGTTCATCCTTGTGATAGCATGTATCAGAATTTCATTCCTTTTTAAGGCCAAATAATATTGCTGTGTGTTTATACCACATTTTGTTTCTCCATTCATCTGTTGATGGACATTGGTTTGTTATTCTTAACTTACTCCCACAGTTTAAGACTTGTAGATAATTTATAATCAATTCGATTTATTGCATATTTACCTCTCATTGTGCTAGGTATTGTGGGAGGTACAAAGGTGAATCAGACATGGTACCCACTTTCAAAAAATGTATGCTACCTTGGGAAAGGAGGAAAGAAAGAAGTGAAAGTAACTAGCGTTTGCTAATAGCTCACCTCGCAACAGGTACTTTGCCCAATCACTGCACGTATTGCCCATGGCAATGCTGTGAGGTAGATAGTGTAATATCCACCTTACAATGAGAAAATGAAGGCTCACAGACCTTAAGTAATCACCTCCAAAGTGGTAAGACCGGGATTCGAACCCACATCTTAGATTCAGAATCCTGTGTTCATTCTGCTAGACACGCTGCTCCCTTCAGTGCAAGGCAGAATGTGACAAATCTCGGGGGGAAAGCTACAGGAAGGAGGAAGGGAAGAAATGACCTGCCTCCTGAGGGGACAGGCTCATGGCAGAGGTTGGTCTTGAAGGTCAGAAAGGTTTATGTTTGACAGGGACAAGGAAGTAGAGGAAACTGCTTGAACAGAGCAAAGGGGGTTGGTAGGAAATCTAAGTGCATACGGAGGGGCCCGAGGCATTGTGTAACATGAGATCACAGAGCCGAACGTGGCAAGGTCATGGACGTAAAAAAAAATGCTAGCCTGAGGTGTCTGAACTCCGCCATGTTCAAGGGGAGCCATTGCAGGTTATCCGAGTAGAGACACAATCATGGCAGTACTTTAGGAAGGTCAGCATGGCAATAAGGTATAACAAGGATGGACGGGTGGGGGGCATTTAAAGGTTGGAAAGCCAGTCAGAAGGTAATTGGAATTAGCAGATGAAACATAATTAGTTGGAATGGAAAAGAGGATACAGAGGTGAGAGATATCTTAGAGTTGGGGATGACAGAACCTGGTCACTGAGGCATTAGGAAAAGGATGGCCATCACGCTTTGCCTGGGGCGCCTGCTTGCTGGGTGTAGTTACTAACAGCCTCCTTTCCCTCTCAAAGATGGCCAAGTTAGGACAATAAAGTATGTGTCACACTAATTACAAGGAATAAGAAAGCAGAATCGAAGAGGTCTCTAAAAGATTTTGAACCTGGATTAATAAGGAAAGCGGTCCCACTTTTAGAAACACAGGAGGGAAATGAGGGTTTTTGGAAAGATGAGGAGCTTGGATTTGGACATGCTGAATTTGCTGCCAAGGTGAGGATTTATTTCATGGAGATAAGCACCTTGCCGGTGGATTTGCGCTGTATCACATGAAGGAAGGCATCATTGACCTAACAAAATTCAAAAAAAAAACATGGTCACAGTTGCATATTTCAACAAACATTTGTTGGTAGGTCACATCTTAAAAGAGCTAAAATATTAAGATGTGTCTCCAATAACTGTATATAACTGTGCAATACCAGCTAAATAATCACCATAAACACAAAGGAAGATAATAATATTTAAGAATAATCCAACTTCAGGGGCACCTGGGTGGCTCAGTCGGTTAAGCATCCGATTTCAGCTCAGGTCGTGGTCTCACTGTTTGTGGGTTCGAGCCCTGCATCAGGCTCTGCTGACAGCTAGCTCAGAGCCTGGAGCGTGTTTCAGATTCTGTATCTCCCTCTCTCTCTGACCCTCCCCTGTTCATGCTGTCTCTCTCAGAAATAAATAAAAACACTAAAAAAAAAAAAAAAAGAATAATCCAACTTCAGCATCTTTCTGTCTAAACTACAATTTTCGGGGCACCTGGGTGGCTCTGTTGGTGAAGCGTCTGACTTCAGCTCAGGTCATGATCTCACAGTTTGTGGGTTTGAGCCCTGCGTCAGGCTCTGTGCTCACAGCTCAGAGGCTGGAGCCTGCTTCAGATTCTGTGACTCTCTCTCTCTGCCCCTCTCCCTGCCCCAATCTCTCTATCTCAAAACTAAACATTTAAAAAATTAACAAATAAAAATAAATAAGCTACAATTTTCAACATCTTCAGATAAATGACAGCAGGTAAAAAGTCCTCAGGCTACTCCATACTCTATCGTAATATTTCTGTGTGTTCTAGTTTTTGAAAGAATGCAGGTGCTGCCAGAAGAATCAATAGTTTAATATTTTACAATTTTTATCTTTTTATTAAAATTGTCCTGTTTCCAGTGTAACCGAAATTGCAATCTGTCTCAAACCTTATTTTTTAGAAGTACAAGGCTATAAAACATAAATTAAAAAGCAGCCACAGTAATAAAGACAGTGCGATACTGGCGAGAGAATAGATAAATGGATCAACGGAACAGATGAGAGCCCAAAATAGGCCCACACAAATATAGTCAACTGATCCTTCACAAAGGAGCAAAGGCAAATTCAATGCAGAGGGGATAGTCTTTTCAGGAAATGATGCTAGCAGAGTACCTGGGTGGTTCAGTCGGTTAAGGGTTCGACTTTGATTCAGGTCATGACCTCGCAGTTCGTGGGATGGAGCCCTGCGTCGGGGTCTCTGCTGATAGTGCAGAGCCTGCTTGGGAGTCTCCTTCACTCTCCCTCTGGTTCCTTCCCTCACGCTTGCTCTGTCTCTCTCTCTTCCTCTCTCTCTCAAAAATAAATAAACATTTTAAAAAATTAAGAAGAAGAAATGAGTTAACAAGCCATTAAAAGACCTGAGAGAACATTAAATGCATATCGTTTTTCCTTTCAAAAAATTTTTAATGTTTTTGAGAGAGAGAGAGCGAGAGGGGCAGTGTGAACGGGGGTGAGGAGGGGCAGAAAGAGAGGGAGACACAGAAAACTTCAAGTAGACTCCAGGTTCCAGGCTCCGTGCTAGCAACACAGAGCCAGATGCAGGGCTTGAACTCATGAACCGTGAAATCATGACTTTAGCTGAAATAGAACGCTTAACTGACTGAGCCACCCAGATGCCCCAAAATGCATATTGTTAAGTAAGAGAAACCAGTCTGAAAAGGCTACATACTATATGATTCCAACCATGTGACTTTCTGGAAAAGCTAAAACTAAAGAGACAGTATGAAGACCAGTGGCTGCAGGGTTTGGGGTGGGGAGCGGGGGTGAATACATAGAGCCCAGGGGATTGTTTAGAGCAGTGAAGCTATTCTGTAGGATACTGTAATGATGGATACATGACAGTATACATTTGTTTTGGTAAAATCTATAGACCTATACAGCACAAAGAGTGATCCCGAATGTAAACCATGGGCTTCAGTTAATAATAATGTATCAACACTGGTTTATCAGTTGCAGCAAATGTACCACACCAATGCAATATGTTGATACTAGTAGAAACTGGGTGGTGGGAGAAGGAATATACATGAATGCTATATACATTCTGTTGAATTTTTCTGTAAACCTAAAACTGCTAGAAAAGTAAAGTCTACTGATTTTTAGTAAAATAAATAATAAATGCAAAAAATTAAAATTGAAGGGGTGCCTGGGTGGCTCAGTCGGTTAAGCATCCGACTTCGGCTCAGGTCATGATCTCACGGTTCGTGGGTTCGAGCCCCGCATCAGGCTCTATGCTGACTGCCAGCTCAGAGCCTGGAGCCTGCTTCAGATTCTGTATCTTCCTCTCTTTCTGATCCTCTCCTGCTCACGCTGCCTCTCTCTCTCTCTCTCAGAAATAAATAAAAACATTAAAAAACTTTTTAAATTAAAATTGAAAAAAGCAAAAAATGGAAGAAAATAGAAGTGTCATTATTTGCATACAATGTAATAATGTACATAAAAAAGCTAATGAAAGCAACAGACAAGCAAATAAGAAAGGCCAGCACGTTGTGAGATATGAGATCAGCTAACAAAAATTACCGACATCTATATCAAAAATAATCAACTAGGAAATATAACAGTAATAAAATAGTGCTCTCAAAGGCAACAGAAATGGTAAAGAACTTATAATGAACATAACTAAGAATGATCCACACGACTCTATGGAGAAGAACTTTGAAATCTATTTAAAAACATGAAACATCTGAACAAATGGCAAGATAGCTCTATTCACAAATGAGACAACATAGTAAAAATATCAGTACCTCCTCAAATTAATCTGCAAAGTCAGTGCAACTCCATTCCAAATTTCAGCAAGATATTTTTTAGGAACTAAACAAATCTATTCCAAAATTCATTTAAAAGGATAAAGATTCACAAAGAACCTTTATGAGTTTTAGAAAGAACATAGGTATAATAGTGGCCCTTCCAGATATTAAAACATACAAAGCTATAAAGACAACAACAGAATGACACTGTTATATGAACAGAGAGCTGAACCAGGGGAATAGAAGAGAAAACAGTATATCTGGGAACCTGAAATAAGATGCAGGTAGCAGCATAAATCAATGGAGAAACAATGAACTCTTTGGTCCAGGAAAACCTGCTCACTATAAGTAGAAAAATAAAAAGTGCTGGTCTAATTTATTCCCAAACAGAGGTGACTTCAGAAGGATTAAAAGTATGAAATAGTGTGAAATAAAAGTACAAAGTTAGTAGAGAAAAATAGAGAAGATCACTGTGACCTAGATACGACAAATGACTTTTTAAACATGTCCCAAACAGTACTAGCCCACAAGGCAAAATATTGATGTGTTTGATTACATTAAATCTAGACAAAGGTGACAGAGCAATGACAAATTTGGAGAGACAGACTTTTGCAAAGTCTCAAATTAGCATCTAGAACCTCGTTACTCACAGGGTGGGTTCAAGGACCTTAGGCTTCTGTATCATCTGGGAGCTTATCAGAAATGCACATTCTTGAGCCCTTTCCTACCTTTACTGAATCATAATCTGCATCTTAACAAGATCCCCAGGTGATTCATATGCACATTAAAATTTGAGAACTATAGATTACACAAGGAAATTTTGCAAATTAGTAAGAAAAGAGACAGGAAGCCCTGTAGAAAATTGCATGAAGGGCTTAAATTGCTATTCAAAGAATTGGAAACCTGAATGTTTACCAAATCTATACAGAGATGCTTACATTGATTAGAAATCAGGGAGATGCCAATTAAAATAATAAGATGCCACTTTACACCAATCAGTCTGGCAAAAATCAGAAAGTAGGACAATGCTACATATCAAAGGGGTGGCAAATGACAAATCTGCCTGCACTGGTAAGGGCATAAACTGGTCGAGTCATCCTGGAGAGCAGTTGGCTGTCAAATTAAGTAAATGTACATCCTATGACCCAACACCCCGACTCCTGGGAAAATGCTCCCAAAGCAACATTTGCACAAGTCCCGACTGTGAGACTGTATACTATGATGCTGATTATGGTGGCAGGGAATCAGATCAAGGCCAGAGTGCATCATAGGAAGCGGACCTATAAACTGTGGCAGGTGCATGCCACTGTCTTCTATGCAGCTATAAGAAGCAATGAACCAGCACCAGCAACATGGGTGGGGCTTAAAAAGACAGCACTGAGTGAAAAATGAAGAAACAGAAAAAGGTCTACTGCACAACCTTATGCTGTCATGTATCTGCGTAACTTGAAAATAAACTAACACACAAAAAATTGTATGTTTTACAAGGAAATATAAATCCAAGCATGTGTATCAAACATACTCTAGAGACTGACTCTGAGGAGGGAATAAAAGAGTGGAGAATGGTAGTGGGCAATGAGAATAAAGAGAATAAGTAAATACACACATCTAGAAATACACAGACCTAAAAGCAGAAGTGGTCCACCTGTGAAAAAGTGCTTTGATTGTTGGGATGAGCACTGGGTGTTGTATGTAAGCCAATTTGACGCTAAGTTATATTCATTTAAAAAAAAATAAAATAAAGTGTAAAAAACTAATAAAAAAAAAAGAAAGAAAGAAAATGTGCTTTGAAATGAGGAAAATGGGGGTGCCTGGGTGGCTCAGTCGGTTAAGCGTCCGACTTCAGCTCAGGTCCTGATCTCATGGTTTGTGGGTTCGAGCCCCACATTGGGCTCTGTGCTGACAGCTCCAAGCCTGGAGCCTGTTTCAGATTCTGTGTCTCCCTCTCTGTCTCTACCCCTCCCCCTGCTCGTGCTCTCTCTCTGTCTCAAAAATAAATAAACTATTAAAAAATTTTTTTAATTTTAAAAAGGAGTTTTTAAAAAAATGAAATGAGGAATATGAATATAGCCAATCCTTCCCACTGAAATCCTTCCCAAAAAGCGTAGAAAAAAATAAGCAGGAAAACCAATCAATCAATCAAACAAATCAATTCTCTGCAGCACATAATCCCTGTTTTCAAAAACATCAGTCTTGCAGGGCTCTGTGCCTTACAGAGACCTTTCCAATCCACGTAAATTTAAACATACTCAAAGGAGGAAGAAGAG